CATAGGAATATAAAGAATTGTCACAGGAATTCGACATTATTGCTAATAGATCGGATACGATGAGTAACTAGGCTTCACCCGAAATAAAAGAGGATGTCTCATGGACTGCGCCAACATGAATGTTGTATTAAAGCAAAATGGCTGTGGAAAGGGAAGTGGTCGTCGTCCTTCGGTGAGATTAACCAACGAATATCTTCGTACTACATTTTATACGAAAATAGTAAATCGGAGGTAAATTGACTAGAAATCAACTCGACATGCACCTGGAGACCAGATAGACTTTAATAGTTTGCTCAGGGTACATAGAGTGAATCACGGAGATGGGCCGTGAAGACCATGCTTGATATCTGCAAGCATGGGAATCAGAGGCCAGGCGCCATGGTCGATGAGGCCACAATATACGCGCTATCAAAGGCCTGCAGCAGATAATGAGAAATAAGGCCTGATGTATAAGGTATACTGTGACTGAAACCTAGTGAAATTAGTGAAGCAGTAAGTAATACGAAATGAATATACGGGGCCATGAAGGAGATTCGGATAGAAGGCCCAAGTAGGATCAAAAGAGTGAGGAGGGGGACAAGGTAAATAAGCAGATGTGATAACGCCCAACTAAACTCGCCAAAAGGGACACACATCTAAACGAATAGAATATAAACAAGTCAGTAGTTGTGATAGGGAAGGAGTGAGATACGAAGATAGGGAGTAGGTTGATGTGCCAGTGATAACACAACCGTTGGGCAGAAAGTTGGTAAAGGATTGACTTGTCTCTTTTACGATTTGTAGCTTAATGCCAACCATGGCAAAGTTCATTGATAATCCTAACTTTAAGGCCAGCGAAACGTCTGGGAATGCACAAAATCCACGGTCCAAAGCTAAGAATTATCGTAACTAATATATCAGATGACTTAGAAGGTTCGTACAGCTAGGTCCAATTGGCAATATGACCAAGTCGCAAAAGCGAGTTTGGCCCATTTATCATAAAAATACTATTGCATTTACGGCAAAAAATGGATGAATAATTTTTAAGTATAGAGCCTGAAGAGAACAACAAAGTTCAACCAAATGTGGGTAGACAAAAAGTATCTATTGAGATAAACCCTATATGCTGCTTCCCTAGCCACGAACCTCAACTTAAATTGAATAAACTTTCAATGCGAAATAACAAGCTATAATTAATTCTAGCCAGGTGAAAAGTGCTATCGAGTGAAAGTGTCTTTAAAATTTTAAATGGTACAGAGTAAGAAAAATATACCAAGGGAATTATTGTTGAAATGCAATTTTAATATTTAATTTATGATAAAAAGCTTATTTAGAGCCATAATAATATGTCACTAAGACTAATCATATGGCGCCAACTAACTTCTGTTGGGGTGAGATCCCAAGAAAGACTGGAAAGCTCGGCAAAAGCAAAAGAATTGATGCCTTCCAGAATCCAAGTAACAGCTAGTAAAAGGCCGCGCTTTCCCATGCAGCTCGGCCGGTCAGACAAGCAACCAATGATCAACCGAGTAGCCAGATCGACGCCGCCGGCAACAGCAATAGCTAAACTAATCTGAAACAAAATGAGTGTACACATTAAGCTGAGTAGGCTAGGAAGTAAACGATGCTCAAAGTCTCCGTTTAAGACATGCAAGAATATATTATCTCAATTAAAAACAAATAAATTTATCACCTTAAGATTCTTAACTATTATGATATTCAATCCAATTCGATCTAATGATTTGCTGTATAGGAAATGCAAAGCAATCGGATGAATAAGGTCAGTTTTAGATGATGAGGTATTGAGAATAGCCTTACCGTAAAATAAGGCATAAGTGAACAAGGAAATGTGGAGACTCTAACTCCGTATTAAAGATTCTGTGCTAATGTAGCCGAATTTGTGTTGATTAGGTTCGTCGGCTTATTGCCCAAAGATGGGAACACAAAAATGCTTGCAAAGACAGCTGGTTCCAAAGGTCAGAAGTGGCTGAACCTAAGGCAGAGACAGGACCTGGTGTCAAACGCATTGATATGCTGATTGTGATAGATCTGTTGTAAAACGCAGGTAAGAGAGGCTAGTGAAATTATTAGATTAAGAAATACAATAAATGTAAGGAATAGAGATAGAAATCTACTTATGCTTGATTGATAGAATGAATGTTGATGTGCAGATCATAAGAAGGCAATCCTATTTGTGAGCTCAGTGATGTCTCAACAACATTTACATTCATCCAACAGTTCTAACTAGATGTACGATTACGCAATCCAGTCATGATTTTTATTGTGTAATTAAACCTTAATTATCCTAAACTGATAAGTTATGAGTGGTGGCTTCACACTGACACACAGGATTACATCTATGCATCCCAGTTAGACATAATTTCTGGCTTACCCAATATAGGTCATGCTTTTACTTAGATTGTTAAACCTTGAAGACCAAGAACTAGCATTAGGCTCTTTTGTAATTGCCCTGAGTTATGGTCGGTATTGCGCACTCTGACTTACACTCATACAGACGTTGGCATGTGTATATGCACAGAAATGCATACATTCAAGTACAAGTATTCTCATTAACCCTAACCAAATAATTCTAATCTATTTGTATCCATAAATTCTTTATTTTAATTGCATGTAGGGTAGAGCCGACAAGTTTACTTGGATAGTATTAGCTTAAAGCTTTTGGAAGAATGATTTACAGCTCTGATGTTGTCTGTTACATGATGGATAAAAGGTCAGCTCATTTTAAATTGAAACGATGAAGAGCCCAGGGTGGACTGTATTAACATGAACATTATATTCAAGCCAAACGCCTGCATAACTGTTATCTTTCAGTGAGATCGATCCATGAATCTACTCATCATTCCCTTTCAGACGAAATCAAAGCTTCCACAAAAATTCCTCTAAACGAAGTCACTCTTCGCATATACGACAGCAAATATTATTTAAATGGATTTTTAAGAAGTGGTAACATAACTATAGCTCTTATTCTAGAACTATTGATAGTTTCAAAACATACCCAATCGGAATATAGCAATGTTGTCGGTTGC